TGATGATAATAATAATAACCAGATACTATTACTACCAAGACTGTACTACCTATCTATCAATTCCATACTATCATTGAATGATAATGATGACTATGATGATAATAATAATAACCAGATACTATTACTACCAAGACTGTACTACCTATCTATCAACTCCATACTATCATTGAATGATGATGATGACTATGATGATAATAATAATAACCAGATACTATTACTACCAAGACTGTACTACCTATCTATCAACTCCATACTATCATTGAATGATGATGATGATGACTATGATGATAATAATAATAACCAGATACTATTACTACCAAGACTGTACTACCTATCTATCAACTCCATACTATCATTGAATGATGATGATGACTATGATAATAATAATAATAACCAGATACTATTACTACCAAGACTGTACTACCTATCTATCAACTCCATACTATCATTGAATGATGATGATGATGATGACTATGATGATAATAATAATAACCAGATACTATTACTACCAAGACTGTACTACCTATCTATCAACTCCATACTATCATTGAATGATGATGATGATGACTATGATGATAATAATAATAACCAGATACTATTACTACCAAGACTGTACTACCTATCTATCAACTCCATACTATCATTGAATGATGATGATGACTATGATGATAATAATAATAACCAGATACTATTACTACCAAGACTGTACTACCTATCTATCAACTCCATACTATCATTGAATGATGATGATGACTATGATGATAATAATAATAACCAGATACTATTACTACCAAGACTGTACTACCTATCTATCAACTCCATACTATCATTGAATGATGATGATGACTATGATGATAATAATAATAACCAGATACTATTACTACCAAGACTGTACTACCTATCTATCAACTCCATACTATCATTGAATGATGATGATGATAAAGTCGACTTCATGTTTTCGTTGCCCTCAATATCATCGTATCTATATGTTTATCGTTACTAAGCATAATGGTAATTTACATATACCTCTGTATAAAGTTGTAGTCATCATCATCCGGCTTATGTATACTACCATCTATAATAGATATATTGGATCATGATTACAAGAATTAGTAGTATTACGATTAATCCATACCATACCATTAGTATCAATATATGTATTATACATTCTTTGTTTGAATGGATAATCATCATCAATACTAAAACCAGTACGTAACTGTTGTACGGTTTTTGCTGATAGTAGTTTGTGATTATTGTATTATTACTGCTATGAGTGCACCATGTCTTGGACATCTAATACAAGGCTCTACTGTAGCATCATTGTAATGATGATGTACAATAGCATTATTATCGACTATTATCCTAGATCCTAGATGACCACAACTAATAACAAAATATCATCATAGCTAGTAGTACATCATCCTCTACTACTACTTATTAGACATTACTATTATGTTGTCCCCATCATTATCACATCGTCCATCAGTATTATTGTATACCACTAACTCGCCTACTTTACTACTCTTTACTACACATACACCATTCCTGATACAATGAATAGTAGTAGTAGTAGTAGTAGATGGAAAACGGCGACCTTGGGAACTCCATAATATTGCCGATCGATTCTATATCATCATTAGACATGAGTATAGTAATAGAGAAAGCAATAACCCCATATTAGGACTAACACAAGCAAGAATGATAAGTACTAATGATAAGCACCCCTAATCAGCAGCATCATAATAATAATGAGTCTAGTAGGATATACCACCAAGACATGTACTATTAATAATAATCATACTATTATTACTACTACTCATTGTTGTTGTTATCATTCTTATGCCACTTAGCAAAGACATTATACCTATTATGATGAATGATAGTGATAGTATTATTATTATTACTTATCGTTTTGTTTAAACCTAGAATGTAGATATAATAATGCATATCCAAAGAATGGATATACCATAAGTCTATACATATCCATATTAGCTTTATCTCTCATACCACCATACCATGCTGGATCAACACACCAACGCCATTGATTTTTTGTTGGATCTATATTCCATTCAGGTACACCATAAAAGGCTGCTTTCCAATAACACCATGATCTCATCTGCCATCTACCTACACGTCTCCATTGATATCTTTTAAAATAATTATAACTGATAATAATAATCATAGTATAATAATACTAGAGCTGTTATTACTTGATCCTAAGCCATTGATATACAGGTCCACCAGGATAAGGCGACATAATAGTCCTAGTACCAGATGGATAACGGATAACGGACAATGTAGTAGGGGATAGACGTAGCATTACAACAAGATAGACGAGGATGAGCTACTAATAAGATTACTATGGAAAACTAGTTTAACAACAATAACAAGACCAGTGAATGTATGGGTAGATAGAAACGGGATATAGGAACAATAGAACGTCGTTGTAAGGTGTTGTATACTACTACTAGTATTATGATGATGATGATACCTACTACTCTTGTTGTTGTTGTTGTTGCTCTGTAAGACATCTTTGACAATTACATAAGAAACCATAATCCTTAAGACGATGTCTTCTAGTATTAAGATCTAGATCTATTGGTACATATGATATCCTTATCTCATCACCAATATTTATAGGTTTCAATGATATTACTTCCATCTTATTAGTAGTATTATTGAATATTACTTTAGCATTTGGAGAACATGAATGATTCATTCTAGCTACAGTTGAATAGAATCCTGTAGCATGATATGTAGGGAAATCCTTATTTATTAACTCTATTAGAGATACCTCATTAGCTTGTCTACGTAAATCTGTTAACTCATCTGCTACCATCGCTTCATGATCATGAGAGTCATCTATTGAATAATCATCATCATTACCATCATCATCATCATCAACCATATCATCATCTTCATCATCACTCTCATATACACCCTCCATTTCAGAAGACCACATAGACAATGCAACTTGCTTTTCACGTAATATATTGGTCAATATATTTGTAATAGTATTAGCCATATCGCTTTTATCATTACCCATATTAGCTACAGCTTTAGCGAGCTGAATTATCTGATATAATATAAATAGGACTACTATATATCATTATTATTATTAGTACCTCCATCTTGGATTTATTATTATGAATCTCAATATCAATATTATTCATATCAAACATTCCAACAATATTCTCATATAATCTTCTACCACCATATTCACACTTATCACTCAATAAATACCCTAATTCATTATTCTTAGCTGTAAAGCCATCTTTTAATAACACAAATGCATTACCAACAGCATCATCTAACCATATCTTCCAATTACCTATACCATACCATCATCAACAACAACATATTATATATGCCCTATATACTTACTATAAGCATCATCATCCATATCTGGGGGCGGTCTAGCTATCTTAGTAATCTCACCATGACAATATCTATACTAATAATAATACAGACAACGACTTGAATATTATTATTACGTCATAAGATCTTCAACTTCTTTATGTAGTACTTTCTCATTGTCTTCACAACTAGATACCAGTTGAGCTAATACCTATAACATTGATATCACTACTAGTATTGATAATAATAATATTGTTACTTGTGCAGCTAATAATAATGTATCACCACAACCATCAATAGAAAGACAATGATATTTGAACTTAGTAATACTACTATTATCAGCATTATTATTAGCTTCATTAGCTACACATAATGCCCAATGATGCTTCTTATATGCATCTAGGCGACACTAAACAAAGATAATAATAATCGTCGTAGTACATAATGATGATAATAGTATTACTTCTTCTGAACAGTATATCTCACCACAACTACACTTAACCATATTATCTGGTATAGGACGTCCACCAGCAATATCTCGTGATAACTCATATACCTATATAGTAATATATACTATGATGATACAGACCATTATTACTTCATATTGAGCTTCTCTAAAGGCATCTTCATCAAGGATAGTCTGTAGTTGTAAAGGTGTATTATCTATTATTTTACTACAGTTTTGACATGCTGTAACATATCTTCTATTAGCAGTATGTTGTATATGGAATAATGCTTTATCTTGGAATAATACTTGATCACCAGTAGTAATATTTATATTACTAAATAGTCCTAGACCAACATTAGGAGATACTCTATCAACTCGTACATTACTACAAGGTATAGACAATAACGAAGATGATGATGATGATGACATATATGGGTCAATAAGACAGCAGAAGACTGATCATTCAATCAGTGACGATAATAATCGACGACTCTTACAGCGGAGCGGAGCACTACATGTTATACATTTTGATCTTCACTACACTGCCAGTGTTGTTGTTGATAATGGTGATATTGAAGTGTGGTGAAGTGACCACTAAGTTAATGAATGGTATACTTAATAAGGTATATGTAGTATTCCATAGTATAACAATATTACGGGATATGTTGATACATTATAAGACAGTAATACCATTATATATTCAAAGATTATTATTATTATGTAATAACAACAATGAGTTATTACGATTATTATTATCTCAGGTCCATTATATAATAATAAGAAGTTGAAGAAGGAGCCTAATCATGTATTATTATGTTTAGATAGAGCATTTACATTAGATCAGATAACTGATATAACTATTGGTATAATTGATATATCTAATTGTCATTATATTACCATATATGATTGTTATAATAATACTATTGATAATAAGGTATATGATGATATTAGACATTATCCTATAGCTACTCATGGCCATTGTAAAATACAATATGTATTACCTGGTAATGATGATGGACGTGAACATTTAGTAATAGAAGCTAATCATAAGCTTGAAAGAAATTGTATTGATAGAGTCATGTCTATGTCTAAGAATCGTTTCCCTAATCCTCCTGATGTAACATTAATATTGAATAGGAGTAATTATCCATTTAGTTATTATAACTTAACAATACCTAAGAGGCTTGATCCAAGGTATATATACTATTCTGAGATAATACCACTATATTCTATTGATTATATGTCTGATGTTATTGCTAGTCTACATCAATATGATTATAAACAGCAAAGATTTGGTAGATAATAACTAATGATGATGTTATCACTACTTGTATATGTACATTGTGTTGTTATTATCATTACCAAGTATGATGATCATATTGTAGAATTCTAGTATTATGTATCACTCCTCTCTTAATAACCCTCTACATGATCATCATCACCATACTAACAATAACACATTACCATCATCATTACCAAGGAATATCGAGATGGAAGTATTAAAAGCAGTAGATATCGTAATATCCTATTATTACTACTACTAGGTATATATCATTTGGTATTAGGTTATAGGAGTAGATGAAGCAGGTAGAGGACCATTATGTGGACCAGTAGTAGCTGCTGCTGTATATATTAATCAAGATACTTATATACCATATGGGATATGTGTAAGGATAATAATACTAGTACTTATGATGGTCATGATGTTAGGATTCCAAGACCATTTCTAATGAAGAGTATCGTGATATGATGTATGAGCAACTTACTAATAATAAGGGTGTAAAATGGAGTGTTGGAATAGTAGACAATAAAGTTATTGATACTATTAATATATTACAAGTAGTAGCATTATTATTATTATCACTAACCAACAACTATATCCTATAGGCTACATTTACTGCAAAGACTGAAGCAGTATTGAAGTTAACAAAGGATGGAGAAGGTAGGAAAAGTAAATATCATGTATTAATAGATGGCAATAGAGTACCCCCTCAACTACTGGTAATATCATCATTATATAGTGTTATTATTAATAATGATTAGTAACAGAATAATAATAATATTAATCTTCAATGTACACCTATAGTTAAAGGTGATTCAAAGGAGTATATTATAGCAGCTGCATCGGTAAGTATTAATAATAACAACATAACTGCTAATGCCACTGTTGTTATGGTAATATCTATCAGATAATAGCTAAAGTAACTAGAGATAGGATAATGCATCATATACATAACAACATACCCCAAGTAATAATACTTCTGATATGATGATATCCTCTAGTACATCTATGTTCATCATAGCCATCATCTTGTTGTTGTTGTTGTTGCAGTACAATGTATCACAGCATAAAGGATATCCTACAACTGCACATATAGCTCTCTTAAAACGTCTAGGGCCTAGTAAATACCATAGATTGACTTTTGCCCCATTGAAGGGTAATTGGAAATGGGACGACGATGGTAATGGTGAGCCGCAGCCTAAGAGGTAGGGTTATTCATAATAATTATAATGACATATATATAGTAGTCTTATCAAGAGTGCTAACGTAAAGAGTAAAAATGGAAGGATGGCTATTCATGATCATGATCATGAAGATGATGATAATGATACTATATTGAAGGTAGGAATAATGATTATAATTATGTGAGTATGTTGTTGTTATGTTAGTAGTGATATTAGTATTATTATTGTTGTTATTCTTATCCTCAGTCATATGTTATGGATAAGAAGGTAATTGATGATACTGATAGAGTGTATGAAGTAAGGCGAAGTTTACGTATAAAAAATCAAAGAACATAACGAAATAGTAATTAGTATCCATATTATTAATAATGCTGGTTTAGTTACCTCTTATCACTACTCTTATTCCTTTATCATCATCATCATCATGTAGTATTGTTGTTGTTGTTGTTGATATCACTATGGCCTCCTTACCTAGCCTTGGTAATCTAACATCCACTGATCAAGCTATAGTTAATAAAGAGATGCAGGATATGCAGGTAATGATAATAATGAATAGTTGTATCGATGATGATGATGTGTGATATAAGTGATAATTATCATTAGGTTAATGAATCGTTACAGACCTATAATGGTTTGGTAGAGCGTTGCTTCAATGAATGTATACAGAACTTTAGAGCTAAGAAGTTGGATTTCCAAGAGGTAGTAGTATTAATAATAATACCACTATTACTATCGATGGTGATGATGATCAATACTGACCATGTCTTGATTCTCTTTTAGACTGATTGTATTAAACGATGTGTTGGGAAGTATATGACGTATTCTCAAAGAGTTGGTACAAGGTTTGCTGAGAAGAATCAACAAGTAGCTCAAGAGCAACAACAACAACAACAAGCAGCAGCAGCAGCAGCTACTACCCATCCTTAATGCGTCTATTCATAATGATGATGATAATAAACTGATGATCGTTAGTATCGATTCAGTAGTAGTAATTATCGTTATCATCAGTGTTTCCATTGAGACCAAGATATGATTATTATGTTGAGATGAATTGGTAGTAGTAATAGCACATAATAATAGTGGTTTATTTGTGGGTACCATAGTGCCGATGCCGATGGTAGTTGAAGAATCATTGCTTCTGAAGAAGATCGATACACGTTTGTTCATAGCTGGTAGTAATAATAATAATACCTATTATTATTACTACTGTCTAGTATGACGTCCATTGTTAGATAAGAATAAGCTATGGCGTCCAAGAGCTGCAAGAGGTGTATTTGGTGGTCAAGTTATAGGACAAGCTTTAGTTGCTGCTACTCATTCAGTAATAACTATAATAATTATCATTATTTCCATATTAGGTTAATACATCATCCTACTCTGCACATTCACTGCATTGTTATTTTATATTACCTGGTGATCCTAAGGCTGATATCATGTAGTAGTAATGATGAAGTGTTATTCTTCTTCTTCTTGTTGTATTGATGATATAATGATAGTAGATACTATGTTGAGGATCTTAGAGATGGTAAATCATTCGTAACAAGGAGTGTTGAAGGTAGACAGAATGGTAGAGCTATTTTCAAGATGCTTGTAATAATGATATTAATAATATACATGAGACTAGTAGTAGTAGTAATAGTACAATACAGGTACAATTTCATACTTTTGAAGAAGGATCACCTTATCTAAACTATTCAATACCGATGCCTAAAGTTAAATATCAACCAGAAGAGTTATTACCTACAGAATCGTAATAATAATAGTATGATTATGTGGTATTAATAATACTTAGTATTGCTGCATATATGGCAGAAAATGATCTTCGTCTATCACCATGGACTAGAGAGTAAGCAGTATTTAGTAGTAGTATTTGATGATAATCTTATATCATGTATATATGGTTATTAGGTATTTTCGTCAATACAGTAAAGATTCAATACCAGTCGATCGTCGTCCAGTATCAGACTTCAATCGTAAGTTATCTGGATCGTCATCTTCATCGTTCTCCTCTCAAGAAGAAGAAAGAACTCATTATGTAAGATATATCTTTATGAAAATCATAATCAAAGAACATTATGTAACAGATGGATATGGTATCACATCCTGGAACGGTTAATGATAATAATAAACCTAAACATGAGATCGCTAGAAGACAGTAATAATAATATTCATCATCATCATATGATAATAATAGTAATATGAAGTAGGTTCTGGTTTAAATCAAGAGAAAGTGTTGGTAATGCTGATGCAGCTCATAAGAGTGTATCCTCTCTAACATCATCATTATCATCATGGTCATGGTTTTCAGGTGTTAGCATGCATGACAGATTTCGAGCTCATCTCAACATCATTACAACCATTGGGTGGTATATACTGTATTAACCTTGACAAGTTTACAAGCTTAGACCATAGTCTATATTTCCATCAGACTAATGTAATATGAATGGTGATGAAGTTAGTAGTAAAAGTAGTAGTAATAGTAATAGTAGTAGTAGTAGTAGTAGTAGTAGTAGTGTGACTGTATTACGACTGTAATAGGTAAGAGCTGATGATTGGATGCTATTTGATATGAGATGTTTGATAGCAACTCATGCACGTGCTTTATGTAATACAAATATTCATCCATAGTAATGATATGATGGTATAACAGGTGTATGCCATATATTCTCACGTGATGGTGAATTAATATGTACAGCAATGCAGGAAGGGTTAGTGAGGCTAGGTAACCCACCTCTGAGGAACGATGTGTTCATACAAGGATCATCCTTAAAGAAAGAGGAGGAGGAGGGCAAGCGGCAGCAGCAGCAGCAGGAGAATAAGAAGAATGGTCATTATAAGCTGTCTTCTTACGATTGGTATATTATATGAATTATCTTTTTAGGTGTAACCAATAGTAAGCTGTGATAACGAGAGCATCATGAAGAATAATAATAATACCAGCAATAAGAATAAGGGATATATTCCTCATATAGCACTCATCATCATGATCTTCCTTTTTCCTACTTAATAATTTGCATTGTGTTGTAACGTGACATATAACGATGAATAATTGGCATGGTAGTGGCTTTACCGTATACATCATAAGTAACGACGATTCTAGAGTGTAAGTAGTATTATATTAGGAATGAACTATTCATGATATGGTAAGGCTGAGATCTGAGATCTGAATATAGGATCATGAAGGCTGTTATAGAAGAGTAGTACTAAGAAGGCTCATGATAGGAGAGTACATATAATAAGGGTTTCGAAGGGGTGTATAGGAGTGGCCACGGGGAATAGCATACAGAGCTTATCTGGCCAAGGACTATCGCCTAGTCGTAGACTTAGCAGCATAACTGTTATGCTGTTATGCCATAACACTAAGGTTACTTGATGAAGGGACATAAACATCACCACGTGCAGATACTATTACCATTATCCCTATGGTACATACTCATATGATGATGATACTGAAGTAAAGGATATTGGAGGATACACTCTATAAAGAGTGATGTGTATATATATATATATATATATATATATATATATATATATATATATATATATATATATATATATATATATATATATATATATATATATATATATATATATATATATATATATACTTACACTATATTACTACAACAATTATCACCAGGTTCTTATCTCTCAACATATACATGATTGCACACTCATCATCCATCCACTGACTATTCTCTATTATTTCATCCGTGTACCTGATGTGTCATTCACATGCCCAAAGCGATACACGTATCTTCTGTGAGTAACATCATGGCGATCGCGCCAACATATCTGACTCGAAGCCGTTACCGTTTCGGATGCTCACGATCGCCATGAACTAAACCTAAACTACAGACTCTTTACTGGTCTATTTACTTCACCTTTCCATTGTTGCACTAGGATCAATGGATCGGCAGATTCTACCGGGATCAAGACTCTTGTATCACGACGAAGCTCTTGCATCAAGTCCAAGGCATGAAGCATCAAGCCACCTCTCGCGAGAGTTCCGCCTCGAGCATCACCCCAAAACACGGTCATTCTGGACTCCTTGGAAGCTCTATCCAACGAGGTCCAATCTTTGTGTGCAGTGTGCACAGCATCGAGGATCCGCCTCTCTTCCTACCATTCCCTCCTTCAGGAGAGGTAGACTCAGTCAACATCGCTGGCAGCAACGACAGAGGTTCACCTCACTCTCAACTTCTTCCCCCTTCGGGAGGGACTCAACCGGTGATCCGCACTGTCAACGACGTCAGAGGCTCGCCTGTTCCACACCCTCTTCCCACTCAAGAAGAAGTTTATGGCAAACTGTTTATTCGGTCAATCCTACTGTCAACTACGCCAGAGGGACACCATTCCCTTACCCTTTCCACATCTCGAGAGAGACCTATCCTATCAACTTACTTGACCACCATGCCAGAAGCGCATATCACTCTCATCCTCTCCCTCTTCCAGGAGAGGCCTACTCGGTTAATCTCGCTGACCGCAACGCCAGAGATGCGTCCTTATCTCATCCTCTCCCGTTCTGGACCTCCTTCAGGAGAGGTCTACCCAGTCAACTCCGCTACGGAGAACACCAAAGGTCCATCCTTCTACCATCCTTCTCCCCCCATCAGGAGAGGCTCATCCTGTCAACACTGCCGTTAGCTCGTTGAGACATGCTGAGTCAGCATTGCTGACAGTGAGCCATAGACCTATCTCCTCGTTCTCAGCTTGTCGTCACCTCAGGGGCATCCAACAGCACCACAATTCTCGACAAAGGTTCCCAGCTCTGGTGATGCTACGGCTCCATTTCTTATCAACCACGACGAACACCAACCACAAGATCGGGCTTTCCACGTCGTGACTCGGAAGCTATCGGTGCAAGATTGCATCACCAGAGCACAGACCATTGCTAACCTCCTTCCTGACAAGTCACTATGGTGCGGTTCTCGGGACATCCAGAAGAGAACCTTCGCTGAGACTCGTCAGCTGGTCACGACCAGTATGTCGTATAGATGGTCACCTCCGTGTACTCAATACTTTCTAACCAGGCAAGCCTACGCACCCTTCATCGTGCAGAGGTTAGATCTGTGGGAAACCAAGCAAGATTATGGGTCACTCCTGTCCCGTGCTCAAGATCCTTACTCCACCTACTGGAAGTGGTTCTACCTATCAGCTTGCTTCGATAAACACAACTTCGACTTTCTGGAGTGTCGCTGGAGTGACCTGAACTTCAGGTCCTGAAGCTGACTCCCAATCTCCACTGGGATGATTACATCACTCAGTTTGAGGTGGTGGCATCCCAACTTGTTCAAGCTAGGGGAAGCAATGATCTTGCTCAAGCTGAACTCCGAGCCCATCTCTACCTATCTCTCCCCAAGGCGATACAAGGCTTGTAGTACAAGATCATTGTGTCCAGCTCGGCTACAACGTGGGAGACGCGGATGGACTACGATGGTCTCGGTAATACCTGTGCTGGTTGGTGTGAGCTCAATTGGTAAACTCTTGCCTCCACAGCAGGCACGGCCACAGTCAATAACGTCGCTCTGGGATCTGTCCCTTCTGCGGAATCATGCACTCCTCAAGTACTCACTCCTCCCTCTACTACGACCCCAGAGGACCAACAGAAGACCGACAAGAAAACCCAACCGACTAGACGGTCTAGTCGGTCTAGTCTAGACCATCTACACCCTATCGTCAGAGAATCAAGGATGATTCTTCTATCCTCAATGATGAGTACAAAATGTCAATATACCCTCCAGTCGCTGCCAAAGATGTCTGTTCGATTCTCATGACACTATAGCGTGCTGTGAAGAGCTCACCAAGGGACAAGAGATGCTACTACTGTGGTCTTATCCACCATTACTCACGCCACTGCCCTGCTGGTCACGACAACTATCGAGGTCGGAACTGAGAGCGATGCAACACGAGTAATCATGTTGCTCGCGCATGTCGTCGATATCGACCCGGTGCCGCTCCCGTTGCTACTGCAATTCCCTCAACTGGCTTGCCGAAATCTCCATCGACGACTGCTACTCCACCATTGAGTTTTATCAACCTCTACGTCAAGCGGTCACACACCGACCCTGGTTGACTCCGGAGCGGCTGTATCGGTGGCCAGCTAGGCTGCAGCATCTCTCAACCTCACTGTTAGCAGAGCCGATCTTCGGATACGCCTAGCTGATCTCGCTGAGACCCCTGCCCGACGTGTGTTGCGAAGTCGGTCCCTATATCCTTTTCCAATGGTTGCCATTGCACTGAAAATCCTCTACGTGCTCGATGGTTGTGCTCACCAGCTCATACTATCGGTAGGGCTTCTAAGAAGACTGGAGACCATCTAACATTTGCACATATCACATTGTAATGGTTCATCGGGTCCGATTGCCGATATTATTCATTCTCTGTTTTCTATTGTAGATATTCTTCATGACCTGTAGTAACTATAACATAAAGTGTTTATGTAATACATATTGCTAGAGTTGAATAGTCTATAAGGTAATCGGTGAATATAATCCATAGCTTCCCATCACCAAACGATAATCTCTATCGTAACAGCATCTCATTGTTACCGTTATGTAAGCAGTTCAAGTATTGTTAGATGTTAAAGTTGTATACTCCCCAACTCATTGATAAGCTCAACAGATATCAATCTGAGGCGACAAACTCCACGTTCGTCTGAGACATAGAAAAAGGATTGTGACGATAAGGAAACACCAGATAAGTTCAAAGAAGAAATGCACGATTAGGTTACTAAACCTTCAGCAACATAAAACCGCATCAGAGGAGCATTTCCAGTTACAGTAGAACTAACGAAGGGGATACCTTTACGACGAGACAGTAGAAGATAGTAGATAAGTAGTAAACTACTGGAAGACTATAATGAACAACTCACGATACTATATCATGAAGGAGTTACGAACGGCAGTAGAATCATTTCATATGGAGTAATTCTTGATAGGTAGGTAGAGGCCACATATCATTTGAGACGATAGTCTCTAATTTATCAACAGGACTTCGTAAGACCTCTAAGGATGGTACCAAATGATCAGCAGCGAACCTGAATACAATAATAAGAATCATCACTCGCGGGAATAATCGACAACTACTTACTGGGCACAAAGCATTATATAATCATCAACATCATCACTGATTTTCTCTAAAGCATTAACCTCTTTCTCCAGATGCTTCATGCTATCACACATCTCATTGATAGTGTTGGTTAGATCTCTGAGCTCTTCTTTAATAGAAGCTGTTACATCATCATCATCATCTCTAGGACCACCACAACCACCACCAAGTGCTTCCTTTACATTTATAACATCCTCAGCTAACTGTGATTGATAGCGTCGACAAACCGGTAATATGATAGTTCGTACCATCCTTAATGCACAATTAGCTTCAACTACAACCTTCTTAGTATATTTATCTAAGAATACTTCTTCCTCAGCAAGTACTTCATTTTTACTTAATACATTACACCTTTCAAACATTTGTATACATTCAGATGTACCATATTCAGCAATAGCTTGAGGAGATCTTTTAATATTCTTAAGACCACGTTTTTCAGCTTCTTCTTTCCAAGCATTAGAATAACCATCACCATTGAATACCACACGACCATGTTCACGATAATTATCACGTATAACAGCCTTAGCAGCATACTCAACATTAGCTGTAGTACCATTATGTAACCGCTCTTCTAACATATCAGTAAGACATGCAAACTCTCAGCCATAATAGTATTCAAGACTATAGTAGCAGGAGCAAGAGATTGCTCAGATCCAACAGCACGAAATTCAAAACGATTACCAGTAAAAGCAAAAGGGCTTGTACGATTACGATCACCAGCATCCTTATTGATATCAGGTAGAGTACTAGCACCCAATGATAGAGAACTACGTCTAACCTAAATAGCAGCAGCATAATCACCACAACAATAATGATGATGATGTCCTTGTTGTTGTTGTTATTACTCGAGTCTCCAATACGAAGTCACCTGAACCGTTTCTCTCATGGTTAACTGGTATACTATGCTTAATTTGATCGAATACATCATTAAGTTGATCACCAAGATAAACCGACATTACTGCTGGTGGAGCCTCTTCCCCACCTACTAAATTAATGAATAACTGTAATAATCGATAATAGTAGTAGTAGTAGTAATATTACCAAGTCTACAATCATTAGAAGCTGATGCTACACATCCTCTAAGTAATCCAGCATGGACATCAACAGCTCTGATAACAGCCGATACGAACATTAAGAATAATGTATTAGAAGAAGGGCTCTCAGTGGGATTAAATAAGTTACCTGAATATAGTAATAATAACAAGGATGATAACTACTTCACTATTGTTATTGTTGTAGTAGCAGTATTACCTTGTGTATTATTGCCTAGACTCCAATTAATATGTTTACCAGAACCATTAACACCAGTAAATGGCTTCTCATGTAATAAACATTGAAAACCATGTTTACTAGCTGTATTCCTTAATATCTGCATAATAAGATGTTGATGATCAGATGCAATATTAGCAGTCTCATAAAGTGGTACTATCTCGAATTGACCAGGAGCCACCTCATTATGACGACATTTAATAGGTACACCAAGTCTATATAATCTTCTCTCGGTTTCAGACATAAACTTTAATACTCTATCAGGTATAGCAGCAAAATAATGATCATCAAATTGTTGTGTCTTAGCAGGTGTAGCACCAAATAGAGTTCTACCACAAGTTATGATATCTGGCCGTAATACAGCTAACTTTTTATCGATTAAGAAATACTCTTGTTCAGAACCAACATAGCTCATAACTTCATCAATCTCCTCTTCATTAACATCATCAACGAGAAATGATATCAATCTCTTAGCAGCAACAGATACAGCATCCATTGATCGTAATAATGGTGTTTTTAGATCAATAACTTCACCAGTATAAGATACAAATGCAGTAGGTATACATAATGTAAGACATTGACCTTTATCCATTAAATATGCTGGTGATGTAACATCCCATGCTGTATACCCTCTTGCTTCATAAGTATCTCTAATACCACCATGAGGAAAGGAACTAGCATCAGGTTCTCCTTGCATTAATGCTTTACCATCAAACTTAGTAAATGCAGTACCATCTCCTCTAGGTTCAATAAAACTATCATGTTTCTCAGCAGTAGAAGCTGTATATGGATAGAATACATGTGTAAAATGTGTAGCACCATATTGTAATGCCCAATCCTTCATAGCTGACGCTACTGTATCAGCTATCTCGGGATGAATCATAGAACCTGAATGATGATAAATATGATGATGATAATAATAATGATAAATACAATAAGATAGTAATGATAATGATGAAGTAGTTATTATTATTATTACGGGTCTTTATGCAAGAGAGTATATGATGATAAACATGTGATGGTAATCTTGATTCCATCACACGTGTTGAGAATACATGTTCCCCGAATGTGGAGGAGGCATCTGTATTATTATTATTATCATCATGTTGTTGTTGTTGAGATGTATGATGAACAGCTCTATCAACTATGGATGATATAGCTTCAACTCTAGCTGTAGTCATAGTGATAAACAAGGATAATGATGATGATGATGAACTACGATGCTAATGTTAATGATGATTATGATGATTATGATGAACCATCAAGAAGATACTGGAGACAGCACAACACAAAGCGCTAGTGCTGCTATTGGAAACTACTACTAGGCAAGATGATACGTTTAACTTTCACGCATTATCATCATCTTCCTTATGTATTATGAACTCCTCGTCATCATCATCATCATTCATATCTTCATCTCCCCCTAATAAGAAGTGTTCCCATTCCTTATCACGCTGCTGTTGCTGTTGCTGTAGGTGTTCATCTGTAATAGTAGTAATAGGTAATGCTTTATCATCTTTTCTATCAATACTTCCCTCTTCTTCTTCTTCCTCCTTCTGTGTACTACTCCCCATGACACTATTATTAGATGGTGTTGGTGGTGATAATATTGGTCTTGATTTTAAATCACGTCCATCATGAAAGAACATACCACTGGCTATCCTACTACTACTACTCCTTTTATCTCCTACTCCTGATGATATTATTGATGGTATAATAAGATTATTAGATGCTAGATGAGCCGCCGCATTCTGAGCTTCATCCATTGTTTTAAATTTGATACATACATATGCATCAAGGGAATCCTCTATTACAACAACCTTCTTTACTTCACCAAATCTTGACATCTCTAAAATCAAAATCATCATCATCATCATCATCATCATCCTTATAAAGAATGTATTATAACTATTATTATTACCAGCTTGTACATCAGCTTTAATATTAGCATATATCTCTTCTGCATGATCACTATTAGCCTCCTCTACACTATACATACCTATTATTATAAACAACACTATTACTACATTATTAATCCTCCCCTTCTTCTTCTTCCTCATCATCATCATGTTGCGATACTACTACTACTACCTTTAAGAACTATTATTGGTTTCCAAGCTCTATCTCTACCGGCTTCATCATCTTCCCAACTTGCTGCTGCTTCTAACTCTTTTCTTCGTAATTCTAGTAATTTTAATCTCCTTTTATTATTCCTATTAGCCATTAATTGTAAAGTATTATTATCCACATCATTTGATATATGATAATCTTCTATCTTTGCTAACTTCTTATTATTACCATAATCATCATCATGACCAAATGATGCCCTCGCAACATGTATCCTAAAACAATAACAACAACAACAACAACTCCTCATCATCATCATCATAATCATAATCGATACTATTACCTGCAATCTGGTCTTATTAAATATTCATCATAACGGTTAATAGCTATTGATACAGATTGTGTAGATTGATATGATATTAATGCATCACCAGTAGGATGATGATGCTGCTGATCTCCTTCTTCTTCTTCTTGTTGTAGCTTGTCATATATTTTAATCTTATAACGTCCTGTTTCCATATCAGTCTTGATAGCACCAGCTAACTTGAATAGGTTATATCTAGTAGATAATAATAAACATTTATGAGGGATGGATAATGGGGGAAGTGATGATGATGA